GCGGCGCTGCACTTCTTCAACTTCCGAGCCAGCTCGCCCAGCGCCCTGCGAATGCTGACGGCGGTGCATGAGGGCAGCGTGTGGGTGAGTGCGGCCCCCAGCGCGCGGCACCTGGGCGCGCCCGTCCGCCCGCGCCCCATCTCCTAGGAGACAGCAGAGCGCGGCGCGCGTGGGGCGCCCCGGGAGCTCCGACTCCCTGTCCCCGCGCCCGAGCGTCCGGCGCGGGAGGGCAGAGTCCGCGGAAAGCTGACTCGCTGTCTAGCCAGCGTTTAGGAAGCCACCGATCGGGCGGCTCCCACACTGGGAACTGGGGAAACTGAGGTGCAGGCCCCAAAGGCGAGGCTTACTTTTGTCTAGGGATACCCAGCTTTGCTATGGGAGTGGTCACAATGGCGCGCCCCACCAATGGCCCCAGCAGAAGAAGGCTTAGTGTGCGAAATCCCCCAAATCCAAGCCACTACCCAGGTCTTGTGAAGAACCGAGGGTAAGAAGCGCCAAAGACCCTCTTCAGGACCATGCGATTGCCATCTATGCATCAAGACTCCATCCCGAGCGCTCTTAATCCTGGCTTCACCTTCGTCTAATGGAGTGGGTGAACCTGGACAGTTTTCCACTTGAGCCAAATGAATTAAGAACTTTGCTGGTTATTTGATTACCGATTTCAAGACATTGACGGTATCGTTTAGTGTCCGTGGAGGTAGGTACACCACTTTCCTCATCAAATCATAAATTGCACGTGATAGAACTACACTAAATCCATCCCCAAAGTAACGCTGCTCTTTCGGGCAATCCTCTCAAAGCCTGCAGACTCGGCCTTAAAGACTCTAGAATTGAGTAGAGTATAAATAGGTAGAATTCAAAGACGGGCAGCAGTTTTGGCTTTAAAGACACCCTCCTCTCTGGTGACGATGAGGAAATTCAAGGCAGGTATAAACAGGTATAAATACAGGACACTGATGCTAAGAAAACTCCATACGGTTTACCTTTCCTCCAAGAATGGTTGTAAATGTGTTCAAATCAAGGAGCCAAGGAAGGAGCACAGTGACTTTCAGGGCCCAAAGTGTCAGTTCTCTCCGGAATTCCGTGACATTTTTTCCTCCATATCTTGGCCTCCTGCAAATCACCACTAAAAAGGGCCCAGTTCCAGGGCGATAGAGGTCATCTGGTATGACGGGAACTAAGGGGAAGTGTTGCTTCCTGCCTGGGAACTGCCTAAAGCTGCCTTTCTGGAATGTGGGGAGACCCATTGGTGGGTGTTGTAGGAGCCCCAACACCAAGTCCTGATGTGGCTCTACTGAGCCATACAACCTAGAGAAGTCACGTAAGTGCTCGCTGGCTTTTCCTCACGTGAATGGTGACAAGCCATGTGCTGCCCCATGCCACGTGCTTTAAGAGAGCATCAGGTGATGCAGCCAATTGCCAGCACTATCTGAGGGGCTATCTGTTCATCCATCAGTTCTTTCTTT